TCCCTGGCTAGGGTCCTAGAAATGGTGAGATACAGTGGCTAGAGACGTTATCAGATATGGCTCAAAATAGAAGCCAGTGGCGATCCTGCTGTAACCTTGTTCTACCTTCATAAAAAAAGTGGTTGAATCTTTCTTAACTGAAAGATTTCTTCTGATTGTACCCTTCTGTCCCCCTACTATTGCTATTATTATTATTACATTACCTAAACCAATCTCCTCGTTGTTTTTTTAATTATTATTATTTCTTTTTTACGTTCCTCAATTTTTTTTCTTTCTTAGATTCTCATTATTTTGTGTGGCGCATATATATTCGGCGCACTCCTGTACCAATGTATATGTGTTCAAATAAAATAAATAAACTATAAACATGCTTCACCTTCTATCCAAAAAGATTTGGCAGGACGAACAAGTGCCGATGGACTGGAAAGAAGGACACCTCATCAAGATTCCAAAGAAAGGAGACCTGAGCAAATGTGAAAACTACAGAGGCATTACACTACTGTCAGTACCAGGGAAGGTCTTCAACAGAGTGTTGTTGAACCGGACGAAAGATGCAGTAGACGCCCGACCTCGGGATCAACAGACCATATTCCCTAGGGATCGGTCGTGCACTGACCAACCAGCGACACTACGGATCATCGTCGAACAATCAATTGAGTGGAACTCGTCACTGTACATCAACTTCATTGATTATGAAAAGGCATTTGACAGTGTAGATGGGAGGACATTATGGAAACTTCTTCGACAATACGGAGTTCCTGAGAAGATTATCAATATTATCCGGAACTCATACGATGGACTACAATGCAAAGTCGTGCATGGAGGACAGCTGACAGATGCATTCCAAGTAAGGACCGGAGTAAGATAAGGCTGTTTACTCTCTCCCTTCCTCTTTCTTCTGGTGGTCGACTGGATTATGAAGACCTCGACATCTGAAGGAAAACACGGAATACAATGGACAGCTCAAAATCAATTAGACGATTTGGACTTCGCAGATGACCTAGTCCTCCTATCACGTACACACGAACAGATGCAGATGAAGACAGCCAGTGTAGCAGCAGTCTCTGCATCAGTAGGCCTCAGTATACACAAAGGGAAAACCAAGGTCCTCAGATACAACACGGAGAACAGCAATCCAATCACTCTTGATGGCGAAACTCTGGAAGATGTAGAATCATTCACATACCTGGGAAGCATCATCGATGAACAAGGAGGTTCAGATGCAAACGTAAAGGCGAGGATCGGCAAAGCAAGGGTCGCATTCCTACAATTGAAGAACATATGGAACTCAAAACAACTTTCAACCAATATCAAAGTGAGAATCTTCAATACGAACATCAAGGCATTTCTACTGTATGGAGATGAAACTTGGAGAACTACAACAACCACAATCAAGCAAGTACAAGTATTTATAAATAGCTGTCTACGCAAGATACTCAACATCCATTGGCCGGATACAATCAGCAACAGCATTTTGTGATAGAGAACAAACCAACTTCCAGCTGAGGAAGAAATTAGGAAAAGACGATGGAAATGGATAGGACATACATTACGCAAATCATCAAACTGCATCACGAGGCAATCCTGAAGGGAAGCGGAAAAGAGGAAGGCCTAAGAACACATTACGTCGGATAATAGAAGCAGATATGAAAAGGACGAATAGGAACTGGAAAGGATTGCCCAGGACAGGGTTGGATGGCGAATGTTGCTGAGCGGCCTATGTTCCTTCACGAGGAGTAACAGGCGTAAGTAAGTAAGCATTAGCAAGCACCACGACAAAAACATTTACTCAATCACTTCTGGAGACTTGAGTAGGAATGTGAAAAATCTGACGGCGCAATCAAATTTTACCATTCCAAAAAATCCAAGGAAGCCAGACTATTGAACTCTGGTTTGCTACATTTTAATACCTCTCTCAATATTATACAGCCTGTATCTGTTTCGCTTAAAAACTAAACCTCTCCTACTTACTTTTTATGAAGTAACTTAACAGTGTTACCATGAAAAATATCATCAGTAAAGTTTCTCCTAACGGGTTCTAGTGACAAATAGGATGTTGGAGTCATACTTTAATCACCCAACTCCCTCAGAGTGTACGAAAAGTCATCATCCAGGTGACTCAAAATGCAATGTGAAAGGTGCTCGTGGCTCTTATCTGACTGGTGTATTCCATAAACCATTAGAAGTGAAAGCCTCCCCAATTCTTCAAGGTAACAGTGGAACTCTAAAATGAATTTTTCAGGCCTTTCTGATTGAGGAGTCAACTGATGGTGGTCATAGGTTTCCATACAACTTTGTGAGGAGACTGCACAAAACGCCGAGTATCATGTATAGAATCTCTTCAAAATTACTCAGCACCCACAACGCGCCCACTAGGAACTTCTGATCCGACTACTCCTAGTCTGTTATATTGTAGAATTATCATCTAGTTCGGTATAAATACATTTATCTTTGCTATCATTATGATAGACCTGATCCTAAAATTGTAGATTTGCCATTACATGACTACCTAGTCCACAAGATCTCACTTGGAAGTCACATCATTGTGTCGTGGCAATCAGCAACACAATGTCTAGCACTTCTGACGAACACATTTGGGCTGGGGATAGAATATATTCTAATGCGAATAGGGACCTGTCACAAGGATGACCACGCCTGCAAGCCTGATCCGTTCCCTACCGATCAATTGTTTCCACGTTCCTCGTCGTTGCATGTTGAATGCAAACATTCCCAGTAATTATATGCTTGGCTTTAAGGATCGTGTGATTAGGAACCGATGCCGCTACAATATCTCTGTTCAATGGGTCCTGTCCAATCTTCTCCTTTTTTTATCTAATTATCGTGAGGTTTGAGCCTTACACATCAAACCACATACGTCTGCTGTATCGGGGGAAGTCAACTCAGAGTAACAAAAGAATGTGCGGATCTACTTTGTCTCCTTCTCGCTAATCTCTACAAGTGGTCTGTATTCAGGGTTAAACTGACTTCTGCCGGGAACTACAGAGTGATCACGGTAATGTATGAAGGGATAATAAGACAAAATTTTGCAATTGGAGACCGATTCCCCTGCTCTATGTAGTTACGTAGATCATTAGGTGAGCCTCAAGCGAATCCCTGTATAAATATATACTCAGCAATCGTTACTTTCCGACTCGTAACACTGTCTGCTTTCAGTTATTTTATGTGACACAAGCCCATTGACGACAAAGAGTAACTGAACTCTAGTAAATGAACACCAATTATACGCACATATGCTTCAGGGTACTCGAAAGTGTTGATCATCTAATTCACTGATTATAGAGACCACAAACCTTCAACATCCCATTTACTTTCTTTGATTGGTACTCCATGTTGTGTGCTGATGATCTTGAAGTTAACCCTCGGCCTTGATCGCGTCCTGACTCTCCATGAAGACTTGTAGATCAAATGTGTTGGTGGTCGGTCTCATATAGTTGAGTGAGAACGACCTAACCTCCTAGCCTATGTTCAACTCACACGTATTGGTTGATACCTTGTTCGAATTACCCTATCATGATACTCAGGTATTGTGACCTCCTTGGTAACAGAATAGAAGAGATAGAATCTTACAAAAACAATACCATGCACAATATCAACAAATTGTAGAGGCATTGGGCCCTAACCACACAATCCTTAAAGCTGAACAATAAGGCGGCCTGCTTGAGCATCTGGGTTACCTGTTCCTGCCATCTAGATATTTCAACAAGTTATTTATTTTTGTGTGTTTTAATATATCATTATGTCTGTTAATCGCATAACCTATTCTGCTGCGTTTCTGAAGAGTGTACAACCTTTCGTTGTCAAAGTTACAAAAAACTCAATAAGAGAGAATGTGGTTGCTGGCAATATACAGCGAAAAGAATGCACATTATTCAGATGTTCATTTACTGGACTGCTAACATCTAACTGGCGATCACTCAAAATTTATTGCGGGGACCGACCAAGAAGAAAGAAACGGAAACTTGTTGAAATACTTTGTGCTGAGAATTCTATATTGTACCAATAATATAATATTGAATAAAGCTAATAATAATAATAGACAACAGGGAAACTAGATATTTAGTATCCCACTGTGGAGAAAAACCCAACGATGGGGAAGGCGGGAAGAATGAATGGAATGGATTCGAATCGACCGGATGGCATGGCTCGGCCTTGTAGGCGTGGCTATCCTTGGATGTTGTTATATACCTTTTACCCATATTAAATACATTGATCTATTTCTAGCCTAAGTGTGTTCTTAATCATGTACTGACGATTGTTAAGATGCAATGGGATGGTGTAGACGATGATGTGACTTCCACGTAGGATTTTATAGATTAGGCAGTTATATCATGAGAAATCTACAATTTTGTGATTAGGTCTACTATTAGAGCAGTACTAATATCATAGTTGACCATAAATCCAACATAGTACAGAGTAATGAAACAACCGTATGGACTAGTTCATGGAATGTTTTTGGTAGTTCCATGTTAGTTATCCTTACACTTGCCTAAGTTCAGTCACATAACTTGGATACAAAAAAAGGTTTGGTTACAAGTATGATTTGTCGCAAATTCAATAAATTAATTCCTATTAGGATTGGGTGATCAGTCAATGAAAGTCTTATCTAATTAAGACAGATGATACTAATTTTAACAAGGATTTTAGTAATCGCTTCAGTTCGACGTGTATTTACTAATCCCTCATGAAACCTAATGCATAAAAATAAAGATAAGTCGAAAACAATAGTCATAAATACGAAATTATTTATTTATTCATGCGCGTTGCCAAGATGAGTAGACATCACAAATGATACACTGTAAAATACGTTTCCAATATTATTTAAACAAATACATAATGTTTTCTATTAAATAAGGCAAGAAATTCTTGTGGAATAGATGGAGGAATCAGAATAGTCCATAGAATGCCACTTATGGAGAATATTAGCTCCAAACGAACCCATTTCACACGTACACATTGTAAGTTGAAAATGATCACAAATGTTAAGTTGAAGAAGAATTAAGCTCATGCTGTGTGTATAAACTAACTATTGTTTTTGAAAAATAATTTCGAGCTTTATTACGTGATAGTTTCATTGTTGGAGTCAATAAGCCATTGTCTATCGTAAACACCTCGTCTGTCAAGTAAATTGCCTGGACCTGTCAGTACAAAAATTCAGAAAATATAAATCAGACACATAATTACTTCAGACTATACGAAAAGAGATTTCAATACATGGTTTGCATAATATACAGTAGAAATAAGTATTTTTTTATCTGATAAATGATTTGGATCTCAATTTGAAATGACAGAAAACACATTAGTAGCCCCAGTAGATGCTTTACGTGGTGATGCCTTTGCTTTTTTCCAGAAAGATTACTTCAACTCAAAATAGCCACAGACTATGAACGGCGAAAGCACTTCAATAATAAAACTGAATTACTTAGATACACTAACGAAAGAGATTGTCTCCTTAGAATAAATCCAGAACCACCTTTTTTCGCATCAATCATAAAAGTTACTTTAAGCATTAGGCACAAAATCTACGAGTTTCTCAACGCATACCGATATATTAAAGACTTAGTAAGTATGAAAAATCCGAAGTAAAAACACAAGTAGTGTTCTTTCTGAAGCAACCGTTTCAACTGAATAACCCTGAACAAAGATGTTGAAGAAGCAAACATAATTGTTGTAACTTGTTAAAAATCAAACAGGATAACACTATTGGCTTTACTTATTGCTAAGTGTTGTTTTAGACTAACACAGTGGAACAATACGGTATTCAAAAACTTGAATTGAGTCGCAAAGTCTAATTGGTATCTGAATATGTACCAGCACTCTGATAGGGCTGGATCATCAACGTTACGGTTACGTGATTATGGCTTGAAATGTTTTGGGAACTTCATTAAACCATAATTCCTTTTAACTCACTAATCAACTCATGCAACCAAATCACATTTCTTTATGTGTTATCAGTTTGTACTTTAACGACAGCATTACTTTCGCTGAATCTATATTTATTATGGAGTGTATACAATCACCATTGATGGTGGTACAGTAAAATCGATACATTATGATTTATACATCCTTCATAAACTTCATCACTTCGTATTATTGGCAATTTAGTTTAAAATGTTCATTTTGAAGTGGAAAACACCACTTTAAACCAGTGGGATGATTGAAATATATACAAAGAGTATATCTGAACCTATTGACTAAACAAAAATTATTTAGTAAGCATAAAGAAATATTAGTTCTATGCACATCATGCCATTAACCTTTAAAACTTTACACTAGTGTTTAGATAAGTAAAATTAAAATACTTTTCAATGATGAAATCACCACATTCTAAATTATGAAAATGTAATCATGAAGGTAACAAAAATGTAAATATTTTGTACAACAAAACAATGTGAAATAAACTAACGGCTAAGGTTATTTATAGTTCAAGAATAAAAGATAATTAATTACATTAAAAACTAAAAATAAATATAAACAATTCTTATTTAATAATATGGTTGTTTCTAATTAGTATCATAACATATCTTTATGCTAAATGGTTGTCACATAATGGTACGAGAAACTTAAACAAAGCATAACTCTGAAGTACTAAATATAAGTAAACATTAACAGTCTACGCGTTTAATTACTAATAATAAACTGTTTGTTGTTAAAATAATCAGGAATAATTCACAATATTCTGTTCAGTAATTGGTTTTAAAACTTTATCTGTAATGAAAATAGACTGATAAACTTTCTTTTTATACGTAGAAATGTCTTCCATTTCCAATCATGTGTGCTAAGCTTGTTTTTTGTTTGAATAACAAGAAAATGGTTAGATTACGTGGGAGTTTAATTAGTATACGGAAAACAATATCTTCATTGACCTGAGGAATTTCGCTTTGATCAAGTATACTAAACTAGGAAGTAAATTTAAACTATGGTGTCGCCTGATTATAGAACAACAAAAAACACTGAAATATGAATGTAACAAAAGAACGAAAATAGTATTTTCTTTTGTATAAAACAATAGGAAAGAATCAACTGAAAAATCTGTTTGGTTAAAGAATAAAAGGAAGTTTGTGTAGATTGTTGAATTTTGTAGTTTACATTATGAGCTGATCTTGGTTAAATAACCGATGAAAAACATAAACCATTGGACAACTAATTTCTAGCTAGTATGAGACTGTTCAACAGAGAGTATCCACAACCTCACTGGAGATCGAACTCATAACTTACAGTAATTGCTGAGTTGGCATCTATAGGTTTACATTTCTAACTTCAATTAATTAGCGAAACCATATAAGAACCCAATATAAAGTCATTAATAAATTGTATAACGTTAACGAGCACCGGATAGCATATATTTCCTCAAGTTTAAATGTATTATAATACAAAAATTCAAAGTGACAAAAACATCATTAAAACTATGGTTGAGGAGTGTTGACAGTTATGACTTTCTAACGTTTATATGACCAAAGAAGGAAGTTCATAATTTCAGGTACAGTTAGTTCCGTTGATTGTTAATTCTACAAATCAACATTGTGTCAACTCCATTTATTTACTTAATAAGGTCAGTATTACCCATTTCGATGCGGGGTAAATTCACATGAGTGAGTTACTTCGATTAATGAAAATCCACAATCTCATTGACTAATCTGCTTATTTGTGATTTAACCCGAGGTCAGTTATACATCATAAATACTAATTTGTTTGTTTGTTTGTCGACCGGTACGAAACATACATAAATAAGAACAGGATTGAGTATTTAAATTACGATTACAATTTTTAAATCATTCGTTACAAACCTTTTCAAAACCCTTCAACAGTTTTAGTGTCGCTATAGCATTCATTTCCTCCAAAACGAATCTATTGACAGTTTCATTTCGACAGAGTTCAGAATCCAAAAGCTTTTTATGATGCTGCAGTACCTTACTATTGCTTAGAGCCGAACGCAAATCAGTAAAATCTGGAACTACAATCGCAACTGGGTAATTTTTTTGACTGTTACCATCCACAAATACTTGACTTATTAATTTGCAAGTTTGATAAGCCATTTCTATTTTTTCAGGTGCAATATATTCACCTTGAGATAATTTGAATATACTCTTTACACGGTCCACAATTTTGAGTGAACCTTCCTGTTATAAAATAAATAAATACATGTTTATGTTAATGAAGTAAATGATTCAAGTAATTTTAGATAGATTCTGTTTACTCATGATTTCAGATTAGGCAAATAATGCAAGGAACTATAGCTTACTTTTTGACAGAAAGGAGATCACAATTCAACATGAATGTTTAAATTCTATAATATATCAGAAAATTTGCATCTAAGTATTTAAAAATTCTTAACCATCGGTCAAAAAACCACTTATACAGGAAAGTAGTCAGCAAATTAAACTCAATGACTACGTAAGTTATTGAAAATTCGTAGCTTCATCTCTGTAGTTAACTACTGAAGGATGAAATAGACATGGAGTTTGAACATTTTAGCTGGTAAAATTTTCAAATGGCTTCAAATTAGGACCGTTAACAAACGAAGTTAGGGGTACAAAACGTCGTCATCAAGTGAAAGGTGAAAAATAATCCTTTTATTACCGCACCTGGCATAAATCCGGTATACTGATGATTCCAATATAACACAGAATCATAAGGACTGCCTTCAAAATAAAATAAAATTCAGTTGGTTTTGACACGCACTGTGATAAATACAGTAAGTAATTTTTCTGAAAAGCGATTTCTCATCTCATTTAGCTAGTTGTTAGTAATCTCAACAAATATCCATCGGTAAAGTTTCTAAAAACGGTTTATTCAATCAGCACTGCATAGAAACCCTACAAAAAAATCTAGAGAAATGTAGGATTGTTTCACATTTTGATTGGATAATTACTTATAACAGAAATAGTATATTCATAAAATCTCAATAAGTAGGAAATTACATTTCCAACGTTTCGTGACTTGGTGTAAGTCACTTTTCAGAGAACATAACCATCATTTTTTTCAGTGTTCAAATAAACGTGCAATAAAATGGCGTTTTTGAGCATTCTTGCGTTCATTTGATTAATCAATGGTGAACATAAGAGTAGAATTTTCATTTGTGGTTTTAATTTAAATCACTTAAAACTATTTGTATGCACATCTCACATCACTAACAACCACATAAATATTTTTAGACTTACTCTTCAACAATACAAATATCAAGTTTTTACACCCACTAACATACACATAAATACACGCAAGTAAATCTCATGTTGACTGAATTGATCAGATTTATTTTAATCTGAACTGAGCTAAAAGTATGTTGTTATTTGTACTATTGAATTCGGTTATTTATTTCTTCACTGAATCATTGATTTATACTAAGTTAGAAAACGTTACTGATGTTGATTCTACGTTTATTGTGCTTCTAGAAGTTTCTAGAGGAACAATATTATCTGGAAACCTTTACATGAATTCGATTTTCTGTACACAGATAAGCAATAAAAGTAGAGCTTTTATTCATACTTCACACTTGATCGAGTTCAAGTGTAGGAGTACGCTAAGGATATTGGAAGCGTCTAGGGAGTAAATAAATAATTGTTAAATGAGAAGACTTATCACTAATCCAGGTATTAAACCATAGAGTAAATAGATAAGTGTCCCCGAATTTATGCCCATCCAATTTGTAACTTGATGAATAAGATGTCTTATATAAAGTAACTTTCATAAATTTACGATGAACAATATACTCAGCTGCATTATTCTATAAAACACAGGATGATATTGGTTAATGAATAAACGGACAAAGATAAATCAAAAAGTATTTTTAGACTTACTTCAGTCCATTCACCAATATCCCCAGTATGAATCCAACCATCACTATCAATAAGTTCGGCAGTTTTTACCGGATCCTTGAAATAACCTTTGCTGCAGTGATCGCCTCTGGCACATATCTAGAAAACAAATTATGACGCAATTGTGTTTTTCTTAGTTTAGCACGAATGGACTATTTTTAAAGTTGAATTTCGGTCTACATTTCCGCAAGAACCTCCAACTCTTGAAGCAACACAAATCATCAGACAGAGAATACTTACCTGCGGCTATTTTTTCACACATTTATATATCCTATACTTTGATCATTGTAATTGTCATATATATGGATTTATAACTGAAAAGGCTCTGGTGATGAAGTCATTCAAATAAAAATAGTCTTTGTTTACAAATCTTTTAACTGTTGTTTAGTATTCTAATTGTAAATCGATGTACGTTATTATTATTATTGTTGTTGTTTTCATGGCGTCATGCAATTGCAGCCACTGCTCATCTGTAATTTTCAGTGGGTTGATAGCTAGCCATGATCCTAGCTTAGTTTGATATTTAGTTGCAACAGAAAACATAACCAGTTCCCTGACATCGATCTACTTATGAAAACGAATTTGTTGGCCACTGAAAAGTAAGTGTTGTGAACGGGGAAATAAGAAGCCCAGACAACTACGAGAGCTATTTTCTTGGGACTTTATTTCATTCCATTCAAACCTTGTAAAACACTTATATTTATTTTTGTCCCTATTTTATTCTACATAACATTAGCTTTCGTTCTATGTATCATTCACTGCCATACCCTTTTTTGTTCCGAAAATATTGTGATTTAAACATAATATTTTGCATCTTATTTTCTACCTTAATTCCCAGTTTCGGGCATAACTGTATTTTTCCAAATTATCGTACGTTGTGGTCAGGATATTCACTTATTTATTCATGTACATTTTTGCACTAATTCGAATTCAGAGAGTTCAGAATTCAGTGTTCCGACTGTCTTGTCTTCTCTCACTTGTGTGCTTGCCAACCAATCAGGTCCTATAATAGTTCTCTCTCTACCCCATCTCGAACTCACGTCTACTAGACTCAAGGTCAAGCTGCTCGGCCTACCGCGCCAAGGTCATAATCTAGACTAGACAGATCAAGGTCAAGTCATAACAAGGTATCGACGGGGTAAAAGCGATTCAAGGTCATAACAACTGGCGACGGAGATTTCTTTTTTCTTTCCTATATTGATTGACCCAGAACAAAATGTCTGTATCATTGGATGACCTTAAAGCTATTCTTCAAATGTAGCAAGCACAAAATGATGCAAATCAAACGAAGCTTTTGGATGCACTGGCGCGAATGCTCTCATTACATTCGTCCTCAACTTGTCAATCAGATAAGTATGAAAGCATCGTAAATTCTATTTCTGAATTCCATTATGATCCCGAAGCTGGTGTCATTTTCAGTTCGTGGTTTCACCGTAGTTCGGTTGCTTCATCACGATAGGCAAGCCTGACCACCACGTCAAGGTAGCAACAACGGTCGGGTCAACAAACAGGACTATATCATCTGTGTATTCTAAGTCGATAAGTGGACCTTCTGGAAAGCGATTAATTCCTGAAAATTCAGTCGACGAGAACGTTATTTCTATCAGTAGATCTATGATGGAATTGAACAAAAATGGAAATATTGGACAGTTATGCCGGACATCACTTGACGTTGCAAAATTAGATGACAGTTCGCCATAAGCTCTGACCGACTGGCAGTGTTCAAGTAAAGAGCCTTCACAAGGTCTAACTACTTCTGAGATACACCTTTCAATGACAGACACCGCCAAAGAACCTCTCGGTATACAGAGTCAAATGCAGTTTTCAAGTCAAGAAAAACTATCGTCCTCAGACGCCGATAAACATGTCTGTGTTCCAGAACCTGACGAATGGTGGATATGTGGTCGATACAGCCACGACCAGGTCTGAAACCAACCGATTCTCTTGCGTTTGCAGTTCACGAGCCATTGTTAAGCGTTCGATAATTATTGAGGATAGTATTTTAGATGCTATATTAGTCAAACCAATCCCTCTGTAGTTATCATAGGATGAGTTTGACCCTTTGGTTCAAGTCATTAATAGATGTTACTGCTGTTTCCACAGCTGTTTGCATATCTTTCCAAGAAACATCTGGGTCGGCTTCGTTTTCAGAACTACCTAAGTGTGACTTCAGTTGTTCTTGGAATCTACTTTCGGCTTTCTCGTCACTCAGTTCAATTCTAGTTGGCCTTCTTAATGTGGCTTTTCTGCGTCCAGTGAGGCACAAGCAAATGTGTGCTCGTATTAGAGCGTTGTTTCTCTTTATGCTTAAAGTGAGTACTTCCTAAAAATAAACGATTATCTGAGCAAAGTTGCAGCAGATGACCTGTTCGCTGAGCCGGAATACTGAAATACCCGCCTAAATGTCTTTTTATTTAGCTTAAGCTGCATACCTGGGCATTAAAGTCACCTGCTACGAGTACTGTTTCTGAGCGTTTAGCTTTTTGAAGAAGTTCAGAAAACTTTCTGTAAAAATCATCTGGGCTACAGTCATTTGGAGCGTAGGCAGAAATGACCAAAAGGCAACGACATGTGTCCCTATCTTTCCGAATTCTTACTGAGCCATTTAGCCGAACATCACATAGGCAACCATTAATAGTGCTTATTCTGCCTTCGTACTTAGTGTTATAAAGACATCTACCAGTCCACGAGAACTAGCCATCGAGTCTCCAGATACACGGAGGGTGTATCTCGTCGGTTCCTCGTTTTGATAAGGTGAGTTCAAGTGAATGACCGGACTAGGATCCTGTATGCGTGTTTTGGGGACACTTCCCAGCAGCCCACACCGTGGAAGGGTTCTTCTGGAGGTCCTTGAGAAGGAAATTGGATTAGAGATGGTCTTAGTGACCTGAGAGAGTGACCGCAGTGCCCAAGGGACAACTGCTTGAGGTCGGTCACACACGACCTTTTTATGAGTAATCTTCGTGTTAGCTCTGTAATTGTCGAGACCTTATCGCCAGAGACGGATATCCATGAGATAAGGCAAGGTGCGCGTTTTTAGTGTTAGCCTTTTCTAACTCCATCCTTTCTTTGAGAGAAGGCAACATCGCTGTTATGCTGGTTGTTTGAGAGAGACACCCTACTACCATCACACCACTGTACAGTCAGCAGTATGACTTCGCCCTCAGATCTTGGGTTTGCTCTTTTTAGTCTTACCGCTCTTCGACCGATCTGCCTGGCATGGTAGGACCTTGAGGAACGATTGTTTCAGCCTGTTGGGGATGTTAGATCCCCAGAACTCAAGTAATAAATGCCTTGATTTTGTAATTTTATTTTGGAAACTTAAATTTCCTTGATATCGCGCCAAAAGCGCTCTTTTCACCTTCATGTCGTATTTCCCACTTGGGAGAATCTTTGACGCTGTTGGTACGTTGTGTATTTTTAGTATGCTATTTTTGCTACGATACTCAAGGACAGTTTTATGCTGTATATATACGTTTGATCTGTGTCTGTTATTATTCACTCGTGCTTCTGGCTTATGGAATATACTTTCCCGTTCCAAGTTTGAACTTCTTCCTCTAGTTAGCGGGATCACAAGTCTTTGTTCCGTCCACATACTAAGTGAACTCGTAATAGCTTCAAACCTAGCACAGCCATCATCATCACGATAAGCAAGCCCAACTACCACTTCAAGGTAGCAGAAACGGTCAGTTGAAGCATAGAGATACACAAAATAGAAATAAAGGAATAGACAAGTGACGCAATGTAAAATATAGGCGAATGTTACCAAATAATTGTGGATACAGTTTGTGACGGTGCAAGTTGGAGGCAAGAGTAGTTATTTCAGGCATGATCATCATTTAATTTATATGTGAGCTAGGGTGCTCAAACCAAACCAGGTAGTTTCGTTGGGCAACCACTCCTTGAGCTTTGACCTAGAGGTATAATCCAAAAAGCAATGGGGCAACAGGAGGAGACGTAGTTTCATAGTAGCCAGTGACCAACAATAGGTTCATACGTCATTTTCCCTCAAGATCTTGGAGCCCATGTCCATTATTGTTTTAGAATCAGGGTTTCCCACCCCACCCCACCCCCTACGCAGATCATTCGAATCCATCAAACAGTTCTCTCAATTTTGTAAACAACATCCCCACCGCGAGAAGGCAATGGGTATATACGGTTGGCCATATGAGAGTATTTTGATACATTTTGGTCGTTGTGATCGTCATGATTATGGATTTATAACTGTAAATGCTCTGGTGATGAAGTTATTCAAATAAAGATTTGCTCGCCCAAGTATTCCCAATTAAGCAGAATATGTCAATGAACTTGATTATTTAATGCTTTTTAAAATCTTACTTCGCCCCTTCCATCACGTAATGCAACCAAACCAAAATCTGGGACATCCACAAGTTTCAGTTCCACACCATAAACAACACCACCGACAGTACCTAAACGGTACTCTCCGACCGATGACAAAGTGACGCATCCCATGGTTTCGGTTGATCCATACCCTTCAAAAACCTTTTACATAGAAAAATATGAATAGATGTCCGAAAATTAATATGATGAAATCAGAAATATATTATAGGAGTAACGTTATTTTTTAATTAAAAGATTGTTGTATTACACCAATTATCATAAAATATGTATTACGCCTGAACAAAAACCAACACATGCCATAATTATCTTTAGATAAAGAATCTTGACGTTCAATGGTGTTATGACTGATGTGACTGCAGGTCTTGATAAGCAGCGTTTATTGATCGATTCGGTGAGAGTGACGCGTAAAACACGTACGAACGACCTAGAGTCTCGATTGGTCCCACTTCCCTGTCTAGCCCAGTCAGTTGAGTCCAGAACACAAGTCACAGCCTCGGAGATATGAATCATTATATTTCAAACATACTTTGTTTATATACCAATCAAGCACACCACATCGTACCATAAAATAGAAAACAACATTTTGTACAATATACAACAAGTGAACAGATATCGACAAATAGAAAATACCCATTTAAAGTCCAAGGACACTATTGGACTTAACATGATAATTATTGGTCTATTCCTGCGCATCCACAACACCTCCCCTTTTTTTTGAAGATCCGGAGTTGATATCCGGATTTTGAAATTTTCTGGGTTCATCCTCCCCCACGAAATAATGTTGGGTCCTCATATTCCCAAGTTAGAATTAATTTGACTTTATTTAACACATAATTGTCAGATTGAACAGGGGAGTCACTGAAAGTGATTAAATAGTGGGGAACAATGTCGCTTGATATGAGGTCACCAACGTTTGATTCTTCTGGAACATTGTCACGGGATTTGTTGAAAATCTCATTTGTAAACAGTTGATCACTGCGATAATCAACATCTATCAAAATTGTATTAGATTTCTGATCATCATTTAATGCATTTAACACATTTTCTGGTACAAAAAGATCTAGATAATAAGATTCGTCAGAATCTCCTGTTGTTGAATGATGAGGACCATTTGAAACAGCTGGATTCAGTGTACCGCACGATTTGTTCCCTGTTCCGTTGTGGGCGGGTACTGCAATTAATTTATGAGCATTTAATAAGAGATCCTCCTGTGAGCTGGGTACATCACTGTCTGTACACGTTTCAGGAACAGTGGGATTTGAACCCACGACAGGGAACGTTTCGGAATTTGACATTTCTGGACAACTGGGCGGACCATGAATAACTGTCTCGTTTACATCACTGGTCGTCCGGGATTCACAGAGGCTTTTATAAACAGCTTCATATGTTCTGCAGTTGTTTTCCAGCTCAGTCTGCAGATGAGAAATGAATTTACCAACTTCTGTTGCACCTCCGAAACATGGAACATTTACCAACAGTGTGCGTAAATTTTCTAAAAAATTTAACTGGCTATTTTTGAAGCACTGCTGTTGTTGCTCAAGTAGAAGCTGTAATCGATCGGAAAAGGTAGTCATTTTTTTTTCAGCACCTGCAATGAAAATTAACTGTAGGAATAATGACCAATGTTGCTCAAGGACGCTGGTGACAATCTGGATGCTGATTGGTCGAAACAATTAACCTGAATCTCGTCCAATTACAAGGTTCAAAATTTTTCTCCACCCCGTCGCCAATTGTTATGAATTTAAGTTGTGGACTGCAGGGTTTGATAAGCAGCGTTTATTGATCGATTCGGTGAGAGTGACGCGGAAAACACGTACGAACGACCTAGAGTCTCGATTGGTCCCACTTCCCTGTCTAGCCCAGTCAGTTGAGTCCAGAACACAAGTCACAGCCTCGGAGATATGAATCATTATATTTCAAACATACTTTGTTTATATACCAATCAAGCACACCACATCGTACCATAAAATAGAAAACAACATTTTGTACAATATACAACAAGTGAACAGATATCGACAAATAGAAAATACCCATTTAAAGTCCAAGGACACTATTGGACTTAACATGATAATTATTGGTCTATTCCTGCGCATCCACAACAAATGGTTTTTTCTATGTGACTATTGCAGAAGCATTAAACGCCAATGTCCCATCTATACATAATTCACAATTTTACTAGTTTTGCTCAGTAAGGCACTGATTAAAGCAACTAACTCATTATATTCAGAATACATAAAAAGATATCCCACAACAAACCAAAATTTTTGAATTCACTAAAATATGACATTAGTTTGATAGTTCATGCAGATAACAAAGGTGTCAAACATAACATTCATTGAATATAAGTACCCTTTGATTTATGATAGATAAATGTAGAAAAACAGTCGATGAAGCGAGTGGAAGAAGAAATAAGACAACTTCCAAATAATTATCCAAGGGTGTAAATTGGAGACATATCATTTACCACTAAATAAGGAATTAAAGAGTAAGACATAAACCACTTATAGTAACGATACTATGAAAAACTATTGGCGAATTGATATTCGTGAAAATTGCTAATCTAGTTTGAAATAAAGCAGAATCCAACCTACCACGTTGAATACAGCATGTGCAAACTTTGAGAGTTCTGGTGACAATGGTGCGCCCCCGGATACTACGCAACACACACGTCCGCCAAATTTCTTTCTAAGTTTACCAAACAACATTGTGTCCACAACGCTTCGATGATGAAATTTTCCACTAGGATCAAAAGGAAATAATCGATTACTACTTACAAATTTACCAACAGTAAAGTTTTAATTTTGTAAGATTTGCTGTTGGGAATAAATAACCCTACCATGCTAGAGTCAAAATGAATGTTTACAGATACAGTAAATTTTTACGATTTTATATTGGAGTGTAAACTAATCTCAATAAGTCGACTATAACTCGACGGGGAACTCTTCGTTTTTTGCAAATAATGAAACTCAAGATTATCCCTATCATAAGTATGATTTTCTTGTTTGATGAAGCAAATATTTGGTAACTCAAACTTAATTGGACAGAAATTTTAGAAAGTGGATGATACATAATAACTACATCAAACTGTGAAGCAGTACGTAATACCAAAATCAGACCGAGTGAATTCCAAGTCTTTCATTTTGTGAAGCAATAGTGACAGTGATTGTTCACAATATTGCAAAGTTATCATTGATTCGAAACGCCTATATAAGAACACCTTGGAATTTATTATTACTGAACCAGCTAATTTAGCACATGGAAATAACGGGTGACAGTAAATACCTTCACCCTTTCTTATTGATAGGTGTGATTAGTAAAAAACTTTTACGTAAATCAATAAATCATCAATTCTGCAACAGATTGACAACAACGCAGATAATAAACATTCTATGCACTAAAAAGTGAGATGAAATATTCCAGTCAAAGTAGAAAAGAGATTATTGATTTAAGCAATTCATTAGATGAGTATTCAATTGCTAAACAAAAAATCGAAATATCTTAATATAAAATGACTCGAAATCAACTTTATTATTGTACTTATTTAGATCGCACCAAAGTACAGAAGCATCTAGTTGACGTTAGGCGACTGACAGTCACTCGGAGGCCAAATATTTCAGACTGAGTGATCTGGGTTCGAACTCCACCAGGGGTATCAGTTACTTTAACGCTACATGTACGCCATGCTAACGAGCGCCACGTGGCACGAAACTTAAGTTCAGTATTTAGTTCCAATGACCTTCAAACATAGTGTATGTGATTTCGATTTACTTAGACTGACGATCACATTGCAACTTATTCGATAAACTTTGATGAGCATTAGTGACTAGACAAATATGACAACGATCCTTTCTCATTGTAAACATTTAACTGAATTATGGAAATAATGGACTATTCGAATATTTTCGGAGAATATTTGTAAACAAATAACCTAGTTTACTGATAATGTTCACTGTTGAACTTTTTTTTTCGTCATTCGTTTTTTTTGATGGTGTTATTTGAAGCAAAACTTCTTCAAGTCACTGAAAACTTACGATGAAAAATTAAATTATCATTTAAATTTTAATAAAAAATAATATATTTATAATCTCTCAATGAGTAGAAAAATTAATTTTTTTAATTTTCTGACATTTCATAACTCAGTGTAAGCTACCTCTTCAGGGAATTATTTTTTCTTAATAACAATCTACCAAATGCTCTATTTATTTGAAACTATCATCATCTAAATGGTACTAAGAGAAAACTGAAAATATGCAAAAGTGAATTCTATTTGTTTTGTTTTATTAAAAAAATCCATTTCATTCATAGTTAATTCAAAGCATATTTATACGTTTGTTTATTAGTCGACATTAATATAGGTGGAAACAGTCAAGATTATAACTAGGTCAGTTTTCACTCTCTATCTATCTATCTGTCTATCTTTAGTTACACAAAAAGAACACACTTGGAAAACTCCATACAATCGATATTAGTTTGATGGATTTTGTGAAAACTTAAATGAGTATAACCCTGTTTTAACAATCGTAAATGCTTTGGAGTATTGATTTTCTAAAATATCTTTGAAAAACAAGAAAATATACCGTTTTTGTTCAGCTAATTTTTTCTCCACAATGTAATTATAAAGTTGATTTTTTACTACGGAATCACCCAATGCACTTTGATATTTTGTGTACAGACGAGAAAGTACACGTGGAACTACAGCCAGTAAAGTTGGTCTCAAAATATGAGCATCATCCAGTAGACCATCAATAGATTCTGTTAGAAATCCCGAACAAGCTCCCATCAGAATATGAGAAGACTAAAATAATAAATCAGACAATCGATTAGTAAGAAAATAATGTTGATAAAACTGACTACTCAAAAAAGATAATTAAAAGTAATCGATTTCTTCCAGTATGGTTTTCTTGGATTTTTTCAAAATCATATAATAATAACTCCAAAATGTCTAGGAGTTATGCATTACAAAACATGAACATGAGAGTTATATTCATTTTGCATCAGATAATCGTTTTTACATAATTAGTTAACTTTGGCCGGTAGTGTCATGACAAGTGATGAAGTGTTTGATTCAAAATGATACAGGGTTAATGGTCCTCAAACGATACAGAATAAAACTCATCAGGAACTAGACTAAATGCACCAAGATACATTCTGGTATGTGGCCTATGCTCCTCCACGAGGGATAACAGAAGTAAGTAAATACCAAGATACAATATTACATATTTCATAAAGGTTGCGATTCAAAGTTCTTTAAGTGATAAATACTGAACTAATAGAATTCTTATGAAAACACTATTGGAAGAACAACAAAAACGTATCAAACTAAAGTAGATTAAATATGTTTTCCAATGCAGATGAACATTAGCTGGAAAACCAAGGAAGACTAGGGGCTACTGAACAGTTTTTTGTTCTTGTTAGAAAAAAAACACAGTAAGACACTACAACTGAGTAAACTTCAGTTGTCGAACTTGGGGGTTTGACATACGTTTACTCACCCTACACTTAACATCCTCAAAATGAATAAATTCATCACTAAAAGATCTCCTGTTATTTTTAAAAGGTAGATATTTGAAAACATTGATGTCATTTCCAGTCGATGTCTCAGTTCTCATAAAACCATAGGTTGTCCCTAACAGAAATATCTGATAACGTTTAGAATGGAAATGGTTACCTACTAAAATTAATACTGATAATCATCAAAAAGGCATAAGAATAGGACAAAGATGGATGGTGGCTAGAAGTGGGATCCGGGTGGCGCGTTTCTTCCCGATTCGGGACTCAGCATCTGGATGTACTTGCATTTTAGAGTTGATGTTCACTCTGGGACTTGAACCTAGTGCCGTTCGCTTCAAACGTCATCGCGTTATCTACTTAGCCACTAAGTCCAGATATCCACTAACTTAAGCGATGGTGTGAAGTTTAATTCGAACAACCAAGACAAAAATGAGTTAAAAATAGGACAGTTTACCATTGCTACTTGTTCCATAATATGTGGCAGTGGGAGATATGAGAGATGTACTGAATTAGAATTGATCATCTAAAATAAAGAATATACAAGACAAACAAAATCAACCACTGGATAAGCATTAAATTTTGTCTAGTTACATAAGTCTAATCTATTGGGAAATGCATTATTTCTCGAAAATTCTACTCAAATCAGCCGAAAAAGGATTTTCAACGATCGTCATAGGGATATTGTTGAACCAGAAGCGACAAAACCAACTCACATCCTGAATGATTAATTATTAAGGCTACATCCAGAAGTCCCATAAGTACACACGTGCTTTACACGTAACCTGTGGTATCGGTCGCTACGTTAAGCCCACATAGCTTACTCTAGCTTATCGACAAGCTAATTTATCCATTCTTCTTGAGTCACGTTTTGACCTTGTTAATTATTCGATTATCAACCTTGACTGTTTTTATGTTAGTATATGTGTGTGTATTTCTTACTTACTCATCACATGTCTGTAGCTTATTTTTGTCTGACTATAAATATCGATTCACTCATGGTTCAATTGAGTTAGCTAACACTTCTCCACTGCGCGTCATTTTGCGTCGCTCTCTTCTCTTCTCCGCTCGTTTGTCTCGATCAACAATTGTATGAAATATACGCATTCAAAACCTTATTTTCGTATTTGACTTATTTAATCCCGTTCACTAACGCGAGTTAAGTCAATGATTATATACGAGGATAACCAGGATGTATATTTGACAGCAATCATTTGATAACAATCAGAAACTGTCTACCTGAAGTCAGATCTTGGGCCACTAAAAACCATCTAGTTGGAGTAGGGAGTAAATCTTTTGTTTTCTTATATCTTCCTAGTGGTTGAAGTTAAATGAAGAGTCAATTAGAGCTTGGTGTATATTTCGTTATAGTGTATTTGTGTTGCATTTACTTATAGCGTCAACTCTTGCACTGATGTTTAAATTGGTGTAGCCAGCATCGGTCTTAACGTAAAACATACTGAATTTCAGCCCTTTCAATTGATACATATAAAAATAACACAAAACTCAACATATCTATCTGAATCGTAGGAGACTCTGTAGACTACTGAAGTGAAACCCACAGAAAAAGCATAATTGCTTATCACTTTTAATTTACTGATAATATAGGGAATAAAACTGAAACAGCCAGAATATATTAATATCACTGAGATAAATTACGTTTATTATTCAAGCATCCAGGATTTGTATATTTGGATAACTAACGTATTTAAGAAAATCCATTACTAATTAAACAGATAATATGCTAAAATGACACATTGGTTTACCTTGAATTCAAGATTCATGAAGCCCAATTACGGAACATGCAAATTCTTTGTGCCTAATCAGAACTCCTTTGGGCAAACCTACATCAACAAAAAGTGAGATTTTTAAGTGTTTTATTCTTGTATACAACAAGAATACCTGACAACATGAAATATTTTGCCCTGATTGTGTCTGCTAACTAATGAAAAACCAAGAACTTTCTTAACAAGCCTAACAAATACAAATCCTTTATGGATTCAGTCAGTTATGTACAGTGTAGGACCTGTCACATATATCTTGGTTCGAATTGCTATAGCATAGCAAGATGAAACCATCAAAATATCATATTAGAAGTGTAGTGGACGCTACTCACAGGGTTGTTTTTAAGTAGTATATAGCGGGAAAGTGGCATCGAATTTGTAACAATTTTCAAACCGAGTGAAGAGTTTGTGTACATCTAAAGTGTGGTGTTGACCGAACACTTGAGGACAAAATGAAAGACAATTCAGATAGCAGAACACACCGACAAGTCCTGCTATCGCCTCAAACTGTCTGAGGAGGTAGCTCCCGATGTCTCCGTTTCAAACTGCTCTGGCCATGGCACTTTTATCTTGATCCTGGCAGCGACACCAAAAGTAGAAGGCAGTAGGTAAGAGGGATATATATCTGTTGTGAGAATTTACAAAGTATTTACATAATAAATACACATAGTCTTTAATTGTCCATTTGCATCATTCGGTGTGTCCTAACAACGCCGCGCTTTCGATGTGCGCAAACTCTTCAATCGGTTTGACAATTGCTACAAATTCGATGCCACGTTCCGCTATATACTACTTACAAACAATCCTGTGAGTAGCGTCCACCACAGTAATAGTATCGGTGATAGTGAGAAACACTAAGTGTAGGGAATATATTAGAAAAGAATGGATTTGCTGAATAGAAGGTATAAAATCGTTTTGAAATTCAAGATCTAAGCGACACTAGAGAGTAAACATATCTAAACTTACCTCCCACCAAAACTGCTTGAGTATCAATGACTTTATGGATTGATATCATGTCTTCATTTGGTCACTCCTAGCTTTCTTCCGATTTACCTCAAGCGTAGACAATACATCTGTCGAGCTAGGTGGTGGCTGGGCCTACATAATATGTCTTAATCGCCTCAGTAGATGGAGATTCACTCAGCAGTCGCAAAATAAATAAGCAATGCTTCGGAGACGCCTATAATCAAATAATAGTAAACTAAAAATCTTCGATTGACTTCCAAAACAATTCAGTTAGTACAGAGACAGAACGATCAATTTCTACTGAGTTATTTCCACACTTTCAAAAGGGTGGTAGCCTGCATAACCAGATTATTTCTCTAACAACCAGCCAACTTTATGTACTTGCTTTCTATACACTTTGTTCTGACGGCTGTTTCGTATTCAGGCACTTACCTAATTCTGGACTCTATGGAGTGAAAGTTAATTGGTTAAACAGTTACGGACAGAAAAGGATGTTACAGTGATTTATCATTTTATCTGCCAATAGGGATAGATATTCTTAAAAAAGGGAATCTACTTGAGACAAGTCACTTAGCTTGTTATGATTGCACAGGACATGATTTCCTTACTGATGTTTAAGCGAGAAAAATAATTTTTAGAAACACTGGCGTTTTAATCAGTAAAGTTAAAAATACATTTAAATTGACAAGCATATCGATATTTCAGTTACTTGAAATACAGTACAAGATATATGCTTACCAGTACTTCCACTAGTGTAGGAAATCATATAAAGGTCTGTTGGTAACGGGTTCTTTTAAAAGAAAAAGGAATAACTTAAAATGTTTTTTAAAATGTAAAGATACATGTTTCCATTATCGATTGTTGCAAAACAACAATCTATGAACATTTCGATTACTAATATTTAATTACTACAGGATAAAAGGAACTGTTGTATTTAATATGCTGTCAATAGGTAATATATAAACATATATATTTATCTGGATACATGCGATTGCTTTTACAAATCTGCTGGTGCAGATGTGTAGGATAACTGATCTCATACCGTAATTCGAAGCATGTAAAGACCAGAGATGGATGTTCTACAGTGACTACCCAATCCCGAAAATTCCCATAGCAAAGGAACGTCTGTTTGTCCAAACATGATTTTCATCCCCTTAATATAAGCTGGGTTTGATGGTCTTTCGTGTTTATGAAACCTACAAACTGTACACGTTACATGCAAATATTGCACTTTTATGCACGAAAAAGGAAGATATATTCAGCTATACATGAAAGCATCAGGTCAAATTTCATCTCGAAATGCATTTAATTTGTTGCTATGATTATGATATCATCTAAGTAAACTGCAGCACCTGAGGTATTCTCTAACATGATGTCTATCATTAGGTGGAATACAGAGCGTGTGTCTTTCACTCTGAAAGGATCGGTTATATCGGAATGAACTTTGTGAGTATTATTGACTAGAAATTCTCTATATTCTACAGCTACTGGAATTTGTAGGTAAGTTTCTGACAGATCAAAGTTTGAGAAAATTTACCTCTACCTAGCTTGGAGAAAAGATCTTCCAACAAAGGTAAGTGATGCGCTGATGGACTTCTAAAACTTCTCTGAGCACAGTTCAGCAATAGGCTCACAAAAGGATGCTGCAATTGGATTTTTTACCATGACTATTGATGCAGCTCATTCTGAGAAATTTAATGGCTCAATAACACCTTTCTGGATATGTTCTTGCTCACTTTTTGGCAGGGCATGTCGGTCGACATATGTAATATGCAACACTAATCATAAGTGGAACGCGTGGTAGCAGAAGGTCGAATAGAAGAGAATGGGGATGTAAACACAGAGTAATTGTAATAGCAATGACGGGACGATGAAGTTTGAGACAATTGATGGAGGATTTGCAAATGAAGTATTTCATGTATGGTTTTCATATTTTACGAAAGAACTCCGTGATTTTGTATTAAACAATTACTTTTCCCTACCAGGGTTCTCGTTCACTACAATAGATTCTACGTTGCGTATGACTGATTGAAGAAATTCAGAGTTGATACCAGACTAGGGTTATTAATACATATTCTAGTAAGTTCATTTATATACTACAAAGAAATCTCGTTCAAATTCAAATACGTAAGAGTCAGGCTTAAGAAATCCAATCTTTATTTACGCCAATGGATTCGGTGAAAATCAGTTTCATAAATGACACTGAAAACAAAGGTTTATAAAAGGATTGAATTAATGCACTGCGAAGACTCACTTTTTTCGGCAAAAGTTTATTCAGCCCCAGTTTCTAAAAAAATTATAATGTGAAATTTTGTTTGTTGAAGTCACGTTGATGATTACAATCACAATAAATTTTCATAGTTGAAACACACTAATTTGTTAAATACGTATTACAAAGAATCTTAGTGTCTTATATAGAATATAAACTCCATATAAAACAATTATTAAAAATCCTCATATTAGTTTATTAAAATTCACAAATGCATATACATATTACTGCATATTACAGTAGCCCCCAAATGCCCCGGTACGGCTGAGGGTGGGGAAAGTTAACTCACCCTCTCCAAATGCTCCCTTATGGCCATGTGCATACAACCACTGTCAGGGAAGTCCTACTCACTGCCTTTTCGCGGCATTACTATTGTTAACGAAATTGAGAGGATGAAAAGAGTGTCCGGCGCTTTAACCGGATTGGTGGATATGGAGGATCCACCTAGGGATGTTGGAAAACACTGATTCCAAACTAATGGTGCACATGGGCTCAAGGATCCTAAGGGAACAAATGGTGTATGAACCAATTATTGGTCACCGGTTACCATGGGACTGTATCTCCTGACGTTGCACCACTGCCTTGTGGATCAGACCTTTAGGTCGAAGGCTCCGGGTGTGACCCACTAAGAAAACCACCTGCTTCGGTCTCGACACCCGAGTAGTATTACAGCCCACACACAAATTAAATGAGATTTGTGTGGCGCATATGTACCTGGTGCCCCCTTGTACCAGTATTTATGTGTTTAAATAAATATTGAAAGAGTAAAGCCTGATGAAAATCCAACTGAGGACAGTATTGTTCGTTTATATGTGTTTGTTGTTTTAATAAATAATTAACACCCCTGGTATAAGCTTCCTAGACTGACTTTTTTATTGATTTGCGTAATTTGCACAAGTACTGGACTTATTAAGGTGACAGTTTATTAAACTTCAAATTAAACCATAAAAAGTACACTACAAGCTGGTCTATATTAGTGTGGAACTTAGAAAATCAGAAAGTGGGGATTTTATAACCCAATGGAATATATCCCTGTTTCATAACTAACTGTTCTGGCAAATTTCGTTCTTTCCCATATGTTTCCCACTATTTTTGATGGTTGAAAATTCACTGATTTTTTGTTGTTGTAGGTCTCCTCTCACCATATTAATATGAAGTGTGAACATTCGGAATGAAACACAATTGTGTCGTGTCCTATGTTAATGATACCAGCCGCAATAAACAATACCGTATGAGAGATCTATGAAGTTTGTTTAGATAGTATATAGTTTAGGTCAAAAATTGACTTAAGGTTGACAACCATTGAAGACCATGGAGTAATGAAAAGCTATTTCATCTCAGTACAAGACTCCTCAGAGGTGGGTGATCTAGACTTCTACTCAATACCCCGGAGCAGATACAGGAATTCCAGGCTACGTGGTGAGCATATTACTTTAGACAAAAGATTATTGAATATTACATTTCATATCACGGGTCGCAATAAAGACTGACATATAGTTTCACTCTGTCATGATGAGTCAAGAATACGGTGAGGTTTATAATTACATGTATGCACCCAAAAACTCCCGACCGTTGCACTGGTGTTGTCTAATAAGGCACGGAAAGCACTTGTAGGATGGGAATCTCATGGACTCAGTATCATCAAAGCATCCCTCAAAACAAAGAAAGGGATCATAATGAATGTTATCCAGTGCTGTGCATCCACCAATGATAGCAATGAGTATGGTGGCGTTTTATGAGAAGCTGCAGTCGATCGTGGGGAAGTGCCCAGGAAATAACCTGACCATCGTAATTGGAGACCTAAACGCCAAAGTTAGAATGCACAACACTGGGTATAAAGATATCATAGGACCACATGGAGTAACTGGGAGAGAAGAACGAGAATGATGAGAGGTTTGTAAATTTACGTGCCTTCGACAAAATGGTTATAGGTGGGAGGCCTATGCTTCTTCATGAGGAGTGACGGGCGTAAGTAATTAAGTAAAAATACATAATGGATGGAGTGTAGAAAGTCAGGCAAATGATAAGAGATGTGTAGTTCAATGGAAGATATCACCATTTCGTAACTAACTAATCTGGAAAATTCTTTCCTTTCGCACGATTAAAAAATGTATTGGCAAGTAAGCACTAATTACCATTAATTCTTCAAACAAGTATATTGAAACTTTCGAATTATAACGAGATTTAACTTCTTCAAATTTAGAATCATTTGCAATAATGATTAAAATTTCAAGGGAAGATTCAAATTTGTCCATTAAATGAAGAGCTTCACGTCCTGAAGCACACAGCACACAGTTAATTTTCGCTAAAATTTAAGTAGAATAAGCATTGATTAAAAATTTATGATTGTTTATATCTTTCTTAACTTGACCACAACATTTTCAATTGAAAATCTGTTACCATAAGGTAATTTGAAAAGTATCATTTTGTTAAGGATAATGTATTACACCCTCGTAAAACTAACATATTTACTTGAAATAATTTATCATATATTCGGTTTTTTATTTCTGGATGCTACCAGCAACAATGAAAACAGTCACAAAAATGTATGGAACCCAGTTAAAACAGATACCTTCATAAACACAACGGATAAATATCGAATTTCACTGAAATTCTATTAACTGTTGTACTAATCATGTGATACGTTTAATGTAAAACACAGTCACATGCAGACAAATTATTTAGTAAAATATACTATACTAAAGAAAATGTGAAAATAAGTGAAATGATATCAAAAACAAACTCACTTTGCGATAGAATATGTTGCAAAGCTTCATCACCGAGAGTTGGATACAAAGGTACTATGGTATAAGAATATGCTGCACATCCATGCTGCATAATAACCCACTGGATAGTAGAAGAAATAGTTGGGTTTAATGAGTTGTGCAACTAGTAATAATTATAATTGAATAAGTATAAAATAGAATAACGCAGATATATAGATTGTTGCGTAACAGTTGTTTTCTTCAACAAACATACTTGTTTATGAGATAGGTGGCGCCTGAGTAAGGTGAGGGGAGGTTTAGACCCTCAGCATTGACGTCTCATACCTTTAATTACTTATCAAACTGAACAGTGATGTGTGTGAATAATCTATTAGAGTATGCGAGTAACAAAAAAAGATGAAGGTGAACAGAAGCAAAAATGAGAAATAATTACTGAGATCATCTATGAGGTTTTCTCTAACCAAGAAGAAGATAGAGGTATTACAAACTTCTTTTGGATACCAAGACTATGGTTTTGGGTACGAATTCCTTACTAACTTCTATCACACCACACCAAAAATCGGAATATCATCGGTTAAAAAAAAGAGGTAGAAGGAGACAGGTTCCTGTACATTAACCTAAATATGATTTACCATTTAAGTTTATAAGCAGCAGTTGTCATAACTAACAAAATTGAAGAGTAGGACTTCGCAAATGATCTGTCTCTTCTATCGCACACGCAACAACAAATGCAGAAGAAGACCAGTGTAGCAGCAGTAGGTCTCAACATACATAAAGGGAAAAGCAAGATTCGCCGATAGAACACAACATGCACCAATCAAATCACAATTGACGGAGAAGCTTTGGAGGATGTAAAAACCTTCACGTATCTGGGCAGCATCATTGATGAAAACGGCGGATCTGGTGCAAATGTGAAGGCGCGGATCGACAAAGCAAGAGAAACATACCTATAATTGAAGAACATCTGGAACTCAAAACAACTGTCAGTCAGCACCAAAGTCAGGGTTTTCAATAAAAATGTCAAGACAGTTCTACTGTATGGGGCGGAAACTTGGAGAACTACGAAAGCCATCATCCAGAACATACAAGTGCGTCACAAGACAAGCCCTCACATGGAAACCTCAAGGCCAAAGGAAAAGAGGAAGACCAAAGAACACATTACGCCAAGAAATGGAGATAGACATGAGAAAAATGAACAAGGATTGGATGGAACTGGAAAAGAAGGCCCAAGGCACAGTGGGTAGGAGAATGCTGGTGACTGAGAGTAACAAGCGTAGGTAATGAAAAACGATGAAGAAACGTATGTGTAGGACAAGCATACTAGATATATTTATTTTTTAAGTAACCTAAAGGAATATAATTCATGACTTGTGATACAGAAGTAAGGTCTCACCACTCGGATATCTCACTTTCAACAACCACGGTCTGGGCATCAGGCAGTATCACAGGCCACACACAAATCAATTGACTTGTGTGGGGCATATGTATTCGGTCCCCTTTTACCAATGTTTATGTGTTCAAATAAATAAACGAATTACATACCATATCTCATTGGTAAAATCCCATTTGGTACAGACACTGAAAACACTTCAACGATTAATTAATTTACAAAGTAATGTGTATTTCAAAATTGAATAACTTTCAGACTTACCTCTGGTGAATTTGGTGCATAAATCCCGACAACATTTTCACAGTCATGTTTAAGTTTCACAATTTCCGAGAGCGCCGACCCGACAGCCCTTATTCGCTCATCTACCTGAAAAAATATACACTTCAGTTGGGACTATTTACTTCATCATAAGTTAGCCACGAGTATGGATCATTGAAAGACGGCCGTTTCCCCAGACACCGATTGGATCCTGTATTTGAAGGAGTTTCAAATAGAGCATTAAAAACTAATAAATCGATAAGTGACATCTACGAAGCTGTTTATTGTGATCACAAAAAGTGCAGTAAACATAATACATGATAACATGCTACAAAAAATTCACAAATTACAAATTAACTGCTGACCCAGTAAACCACATGAGTTAAAAGTTTTAATTCACGATAATACAAATAATCCCCATTTTGAGTGGCGACCATAAAATAAACAGTATTTCAAGTAATAAAGTACTGTTTAATCACCATAAAACAACATTCGGGATTTTATAGTTCAGTAACAAAAATTATATAACGTCCTTCCCTGCCTTCTTAGTGAAGAACATAAAAAACAGTCAGAAACCTCAATAGGAAAAAATTATAGGATTTCACTGCTCTAAATACAGAGTAAAATCTTAAAGAAGTTAAGCATTTTGACGTTGTAAATATATTAGAATAATAAATTTCAGTTTGTGAGTAAACCTTGTAGAAGCTTACACTGAAACTAGTCTAGAATAAAACAATGATTTATGCCTACAGTATAACGCTGCGGTGTTAAGCACTTATACTGCCTTGATACCGCTACAATGAATAGTATATCATGCCTATTAGTCATATATTTTGAACACATTCAGCTCCTTTGCATTGAGAATATACTTACTTACTTAGACCTGTTACCCCACATGGAGGAGCATAGGCCACCCACCAGATTTCTCCATCAAACTCTGTCCTGTGCAATCCTTTTCAGTTGCTATTCATGTTTCCCATGACAATCGTAACCAATGGTTGGAAACTCTTGGTGACATGGCTCAGAATCGATCACAATGGCGTCGGTGTATACACTCTCTGTTTTCCCTTAGACTAAGAGATTAAAATTGCTTCATATCTTTCTTTCTACGAACTAATTCTTCCTTCCTGTACTATATCCTTATTGCAATCTTTCTTTTATATATTACCACCTCTGAATTAACTACTTTTATGAATCCCGTGTCCATCTTGTTGTGTTAATGAGGTATGGCAACTTGGGCCGATACATATATGTGCCTGGTCCTACGTTGTAGCTGACTGACTGACTTTCCATGTCTGCTCCCAATTCTCGACGCAGTGTGTTCTCCAGTTTTCCACTTTTCCGCTTCCCTTCAGCATTCCAAGTTTGGTGGTTACCTCAATGTGTGCCCTGTCCACTCCCAACGTCTTTTCCTAATTTCCCCTTCAGTTGGAAGCAGTTTTTCCTCTCCCACAGAAAACTGTTGCTGACAGTATCTGGTCAGTGGATGTTGAGTATATTGCGTAGACAACTGCTTATAAATACTTGTACCTTTTTGATGATGGTTGTGATAGTTTTCGAAGTTTCAGCCCCGTGCAGTAGAACTGTCATGACGTTCGCATTGAAGATTGTGATTTTGATATTGGTTGACAGGTGTTTTGAGTACCATATGTTCCTCAATTATAGAAGTACTGGCTTTGCTTTACCAACCCGTGCTTTTACGTCTGCATCGAATCCTCCTCATTCATCGATGACGATGTCCGGGTATGTGAAAGTCTCCACCAGAAGAAACAGAAAGGATGAGAGTAAGCAACTATGTTTGACACCGGTCCTCTCTTGGAATGCATCTGTCAGCTGTTCTCCATGGACCATTTTGCAGTGTAGTCCGTCGTATGAATTTCAGACGATGTTGATGATTTTCTCACCTACTCACTCCAATGTCGAAGACGATTCCATAACTTTCTCCTATCCACGCTATCTAATGCCTTATCATAGTCAAGGAAGTTTCCATTCAATTGATTGTTCAGCGATGATTTGGTCTGTGTACGACCGGTCTTTACGGAATCCGGTCTGTTGATCTCAAAGTTGAATCCTTTATCCGGCTCAGTAACTCTCTGCTGAAAACTTCTCCTGGTACCGATAGTAGTTTGATGCCTCTGTAGTTCTCACATTTGCTCAGGCCTTCTTTCTTTGGTATATTGATGAGGTGCAGTTCTTTCCAATCTGTAGGTGGCACTTGTTCTTTCTTCCGAATCTTCCTGAATAGAACGGGGAGCATCTTTGCAGTTACTTCTGTGTCTGACTTCAGTGCTTCGGTTGGTATATTGTCAGGTACTGCTGCTTCCCTACTCTTGATTTGTCTGATGGCCATCCTGATTTATTCGATCGTTGGTGAAGTGGTATATATATATATATATATATATATATATATATATATATATATATATATATATATATATATATATATAGGAAGGTCTGTTTGTGCTACTTTGGTGTTCGATGGATTCAGAGGGGCTCGTCTATTCAAGAGTTTCTCAAAATGTTCCACCCATCTCTTCCTCTCCTCTTGAATTTCAGTGATTGTCTCGCTTTCTTTGTCACTGACCAGTCTCGTGCTAATTTCTTCATTGTATCGTAATTGTTTCAAATTTCCTCTTGCAGCTTTTGCCGCTGTCCTTGCTAGCTCTTCCACATATTTCTGCTTGTCAGCTCTAATAATCTTCACTTGCTTGTTTGATTCCGTGTATTTAGCTTGTGCTTTGACTTTTTCTGTTCTTGTTCGGTTGTTGATAATTGCTGTTTTCCTGTTCTTCCTCTCTTGAATCATGTCCAGGGTTTCCATAGAGATCCACTCCGTATGATGATGCTTCTTAAGGGCCAGAACCACCTGAGACGTTGAAGCTAGTGATTCTTTTATATTTTTCTATTTGTCCTCCATAGTAGTTTCTTCTTCTTTGAGATCTTCTAAAGCTTGGAACCTTTTGTTGAGATCTATCTTGAACTCGTGGAGTATTTTGAATATACAAAGCTATTAACCATATATCTCGTGCACAGTAAGTGCTAGATAATTGGAATTCCAAATCAAGTTGTCGTTTAACTTCATGATTTTTCGATCTTATATATGTAAATATATTTTCATCACTTAATACAACAGAAAATGTTTAAAGCTTTAATTTTATTTTGTTTAAGTTATCTAATAGCATGGGACACAACTTAGCACAGAATTTCGGAAGACGTTTCATTTTCCAACCTCTAGATATATTGGACCAAACAAATAAAGTGTAGGACCTTACAATAAATACACTACCATGAGTTAAGGCACCATTTGATAGCATGTATAAAAAACTCATCACAATACTAAAAACAATGATCGTTTTTCAAACATATTCGCTCATATAAACCCATCAAGTTTCAACTAGCAGCAACAAATGGAACAGGGGAATTTTAGAAGACTTTGCATTCAAATCATTCACAAATTATTGGGAATGATGAAATTCACCTAAGCTATAAACTGATAGGAAATACAATAGCCACATGGGAAACAGTTTACGATAAACTGTTGACTGTTTGTGAACCGATTGTAAAACGTCACTTCTTCTAGGATTAAGTGCTGGTGACATTGTTTCGAAAGACAATGAAAAATTCACAAGTAAATCACCTAGTTGAAATAAACGAGAACAACAAACACAATAACAAATAACAAGGTTCTACTTAGCAGTTGATTATTCAACTAGATCTATTTCGCAAATCAAAGTTTATCGTGAACAGACAACAATAAACAAATAGTTAGTGTGAATGGACGAACTTACTCGAATTATTTAAGCCATATTCAAAAAGATCTTTGACTGTTTGTACACGAGATTCGTCAGTGAACTTTTGAGAAATTGGAGATTTTCGTGCACCAGTCTAAAATTACCGAACAAATCAGTCAATAAATATGAGAAATAATTCTTGAAATCAATTAATAAAATAGTAACAGAAAGAAAATTCTTCGGTCACAACCTGATATGTACCAAATTCTTACAAGTTTTTAAGAAATTGAGAGAATTGAAATCTTGTTGAATCAGTTATTTGTAAATGAAAAATTAATTGACCGAAGTTAAATTAACTCGTCTACCAGGTTCTTGGGTACGAACAACACTAAGTGCGAAGCCTAATGGAACTTCTTGGCTGCCCAAACCAAAACTGAAAATAATGGTGTATGAGGCTAACCACGTATCAGTATGTACATAATAGTATATCAAATTGAGAAATTTAAGCATTTTAATGTATTTACCACATATGATGTGGCAAATGTAACGATAAGTAAAGAATGATAGTCAGTTTATACTGAGCTGACTAAGATTTATGCCCTAATAAAACAACTTCATATTTTTATCCAATGCTATACTTCACTTCCGAATTATCCACTCAGTGGTTTTATATCACGCGACCTACGATTTGTAGACATTTGCCGTCGAATGATTATAAGAACTGATATCTCATGAAAATTGTCTGAAGATTGTGAATTCATCACAAAACAAAAGAATGATGCAACAATATAACAAGGAACTCTAGAGCTAATAAACGTTACATTAAATAATACCTAGTCATTGTTGAGGAGATCCGGAAACTTCCTCAAAAAAATGATTAAAAAAGGTTCTGTAAATACTGAAAAACGATTCCAGTACGCGGAACGCTATTCCTGGTCTCCTGAAACCACGCTCTAAACTACACGTAGGAGCTTTTAACGTACGAACACTTTGCCAAATAGGACAGCAGGCTTCCTTAGCTAAAACTTTAGAATCTCGCGCCATCGATGTGTGCTGCGTCTCCGAAACGCGCATACAGGATCCGAGTAGCGTCATTCATTTGACCTCACCATGCCAAAATAAAGAACCGACTCGATTTACGCTTCGTGTATCTGGAAGCCCTGATTCTGCTTCCCGTGGCCTCGCCGGCGTAGGTATAGCATTGAGTCCTAGGGCAGAACTAGCTCTCTTAGAGTGGATCCCAGTAGACAGTCGTTTGTGCGCTGTCCGACTGAACGGAACAGTAAGAATCCGGAAAGATAGGGACACTCGTCGTTGCCTCTTCGTCGTCTCTGCCTATTCTCCCACTGACTGCAGCTCAGATGATGTAAAAGATGAGTTTTACAGAAAGCTTTCGGACCTTCTCCGAAAAGCTAAGCGCTCGGATGTAGTAATAGTGGCCGGTGACTTTAATGCTCAAGTAGGTAAACTAAGCGATAGGGAAAGACACCTAGGTGGATCTTATGGTGTCGTGGCTCAAAGAACAGATAATGGCGACCGTCTGTTGCAGCTATGCTCAGATAACCGCCTGTTCCTTGCAAATACTAACTTTAAGCATAAGGAAAAACATCTTTTAACATGGCGACCCCCGAATTCGTCCCAACGTTGGACCCAAATAGATCACATCGCTATCAGCCACCGATGGAGGGGCTCGATAGAAGACTGTCGCTCATTCTGGAGCACATGCCTAGATTCAGATCATGCTCTAGTGCGAGCGCGTATTTGCTTGCGTCTTACTGGACGTAGGAAAGACGCTGCAAGGAAACCTCTTAGGGCCTACTTAATGATAGTCAAGCTAAGAGTATATTTCAGGAACAACTAGGAAAACAGTTAGGCAGCCATGTATGTGATGCCCACCCCGATGCAGCATGGAATGATATCCGAAAAGCTGTGGAAACAGCAGTGATATCTGCTAGTAAGGTAAACCAGAAGGTTAGGGAGCAACACTGGATCTCAGCAGCATCTATCGCACTGATAGATGCTCGGAAACTCATTCCACCTGGCTCTGAACATAATGAAGAGCGGAGTCAGCTTAAGCGCAAGCTGACAAGAAGTCTACGCAATGATCGCGAACAGTGGTGGGTAGCGAAAGCAAGAGAGATGGAAAAGGCAGCGGCAATAGGTAATAGCAGACAATTGTTCAGACTCGTTAAGGAAACCGGAATTAGGAACCCGACCGTTAGCGAAACAATCTCAGAGAAAGATGGACATATTATTCATTCTCAATCCAGGAGATTGGATCGATGGGCAGAACACTTTAGGGATCAGTTCAACTGGCCTTCAGCCACACTTCGGTTTCCCACGATCTCTAGTCAACCTGAATGGCAAGTTAATGTAGGTCCTCCGTCCCTTTACGAAGTTGAAAAAGCCATAGGAAATCTGAAACGAGGGAGAGCAGCAGGCCCTGACAGGTTTACTCCTGAGATTTTTAAGGATGGTGGTCCAGTATTAGCAATGAGATTAACTGAGGTCTTAGGTAGAATTTGGGAACTGGACGTAATCCCATCTGACTGGTCTCAATCACTGATTGTGCCAGTCTATAAGAAAGGACAAAAGTCCTCTTGTGACAATCACAGAGGAATCAGTTTGACTAATATAGTGTCTAAAATATTAGCTTCAATAATACTTCGACGCCTAATCAAAGCTCGTGAAGAGCAGACTAGAGAAAACCAGGCTGGTTTTCGACCTGGACGTGGTTGTATAGATCAGATATTCACACTACGTCAGGTTCTAGAACACAGACACACATTCAGACGCCCCACAATGGTAGTATTTCTCGACCTTAAGGCGGCATTCGACTCTGTTGATCGTGAGGTTCTATGGCAGTGTTTGTCACTGAAAGGAGTACCAAAGAAGTACATTAACCTTATAAAGGCTCTCTACTCGAACACAACTGGTAGAGTGAGAGCTTATGGCGAACTGTCATCAGAATTGATTACCTCAAGTGGTGTTCGTCAGGGCTGTCCACTCTCCCCATTCTTGTTCAACTTTGTGGTCGACGTACTTTTAGAGATAACACTCTCCTCATCTAAATTTCCAGGGGTTGAACTTCTACCAGGAGGTTCACTTGTTGACTTAGAATATGCTGATGACATAGTTTTATTTGGTGAAGACGCTGACAAAATGCAGAGTCTTCTGACCACTCTAAGCAACAATGCAAGCATGTTCGGGATGCGATTCTCTCCCTCGAAATGCAAAATGTTGCTTCAGGATTGGGTTACATCGACACCCGAACTAGTGATAGGGAGTGAAGTAGTTGAGTGTGTCGACCGCTTCACTTATCTTGGAAGTCTCATCAGCCCTTGTGGTTTAGTGTGTGACGAAATCTCAGCACGGATACAGAAGGCTCGACTAGCTTTTGCCAACTTGCGTCATTTATGGCGTAGGCGAGATATCCGTCTATCAACCAAAGGACGTGTTTACTGCGCAGCAGTTCGTTCCGTCCTACTTTATGGCAGTGAAACATGGCCGGTAAGAGTAGAGGATATTCGTAGGTTACTAGTATTTGATCATAGGTGTCTTCAAAATATTGCTCGTATATCGTGGGACCATCGAGTAAGTAATGCAGTTGTTAGGAAACGGGTACTAGGTAAGGATGGCAAATCAATTGATGAAGTAGTGAAACTTCATCAGTTGAGATGGCTAGGACACGTGTTACGTATGCCCAACGACCGACTGCCTCGACGTGCGATGTTCAGTGGTATAGGAGTAGGTTGGAAGGAAACTAGGGGTGGCCAGACCGAAACATGGCACAAATGCATGAAGTCACTGACAAGTGGACTGAGTCATGTTGATAGGTGTAGACTACCTGGTTGGGGACCGCGAGATGATAGCAACCGATGGTTAGAGACCCCGAATGACATAGCTCAAAACCGTTTGTAATGGCGCAGGTGCATACACTCTTCGTCTTCTCCCAAATTTTGATCTCCTTATTCCTCCTTGTCTCTTTTTTCTCTTCCCAAATTTATTTCACTGGATTATGCTCTTTAAATAACATCTCCAAACCCTAATCTTTCAGATTACTGCTTATACTTTTACTACCTCTAATACTATGGGATTTGAATCAACAACTGCATCTTTGTGCTAATGTGGTATGGCAACTGGAACTGATGTACGTACGTACGAAGTTCTACGTTGTTACTGACTGACTGACTGATTCAAGGCTATACTTCACTTCCGAATTATCCACTCAGTGGTTTTATATCACGCGACCTACGATTTGTAGACATTTGCCGTCGAATGATTATAAGAACTGATATCTCATGAAAATTGTCTGAAGATTGTGAATTCATCACAAAACAAAAGAATGATGCAACAATATAACAAGGAACTCTAGAGCTAATAAACGTTACATTAAATAATACCTAGTCATTGTTGAGGAGATCCGGAAAATTCCTCAAAAAATGATTAAAAAGGGTTCTGTAAGCACTGAGAAACATCTTATACAACCATCATTCGATATAAGTTTTGCCAGAAACATCTAGAAAGTGACAAGTCACATGCCACGTTTCTGCATGGATGATTACCTATACTGCTATGTTTAGTAGCGTTCCAGAAAATTCCGGAAGCCCATGGCCATCAGAAATACTATAAATACCCTAGATTTTCTGTACGTAAACAAACTTTCGAAGTAAAACGTTTCCGCCCATACTTTTTAATGACACTACCTATATTAGGATGACTATAATACCTTTCAAAAATACATCTAAGTGAAGACACTCTGATCAAGTTGAGTTGAATAACATGATAAAAGGAGTGGATGTAGAAGCTCAGGTAATTAAATGTCAGTCACCTTACCACAGTAGATGCATGTTAGGTTGTTGATAATGCTGAAATACCCGATCGAAGCTGCTACCTTGACGCGGTGGTCGGGCTTGCCTATCGTGATGACCCAACCGAGCTATATTGGCTGGAACATATGTTCCTGTAGGTTCTACCATGCCAGGCAGGTCGATTGGTGAACGGTAAGACTAAAAGCAGCAACTCAAGGTCTGAGGGCGAAGTCGTACTGCTGACTGTAGAGGGGTGTGACAGCAGTAAGGTGTTTCCTTCGGACAACCAGCATGACAGCGATGCTGCCTTCCCACAAGGAGGGGTGGGGTTAGAAAAGGTCGACCCTAAAAATGTCACACCTCACCTTACCTCACGGATTTCCGTCTCCGGCGGTAAGGCCCTTTGAAGAACGGAGCTAACACGTCAAAAACCTTCCACAAAAAGGCCGTGCGCGACCGGCCTCAAGCAGTTGTCCCTTGGGCTCTGCGGTCACGCTCCCAGGTCGTCAAGACCAACACTAATCCAATTTCCTTTTCAGGTTCCTCAAGAAATACCCTTCCACGGTGTGGGCAGCCGGGAAGTGACATCAGCCCTCATACCCGTAACAGCACAAGAGACCAAGGTGGTCACATTCAAATCCTTCCTACACCTCCTAATACCTCTCTTATCTCCATGACTAACCCTCCTCACGTCTCTTTATCACCTCGCACCGCTAGGGCAAACGATTCGAGTACGTGGAACGCCATTCCTGGTCTCCTGAAACCACGCTCTAAACTACACGTAGGAGCTTTTAACGTACGAACACTTTGCCAAATAGGACAGCAGGCTTCCTTAGCTAAAACTTTAGAATCTCGCGCCATCGATGTGTGCTGCGTCTCCGAAACGCGCATACAGGATCCGAGTAGCGTCATTCATTTGACCTCACCATGCCAAAATAAAGAACCGACTCGATTTACGCTTCGTGTATCTGGAAGCCCTGATTCTGCTTCCCGTGGCCTCGCCGGCGTAGGTATAGCATTGAGTCCTAGGGCAGAACTAGCTCTCTTAGAGTGGATCCCAGTAGACAGTCGTTTGTGCGCTGTCCGACTGAACGGAACAGTAAGAATCCGGAAAGATAGGGACACTCGTCGTTGCCTCTTCGTCGTCTCTGCCTATTCTCCCACTGACTGCAGCTCAGATGATGTAAAAGATGAGTTTTACAGAAAGCTTTCGGACCTTCTCCGAAAAGCTAAGCGCTCGGATGTAGTAATAGTGGCCGGTGACTTTAATGCTCAAGTAGGTAAACTAAGCGATAGGGAAAGACACCTAGGTGGATCTTATGGTGTCGTGGCTCAAAGAACAGATAATGGCGACCGTCTGTTGCAGCTATGCTCAGATAACCGCCTGTTCCTTGCAAATACTAACTTTAAGCATAAGGAAAAACATCTTTTAACATGGCGACCCCCGAATTCGTCCCAACGTTGGACCCAAATAGATCACATCGCTATCAGCCACCGATGGAGGGGCTCGATAGAAGACTGTCGCTCATTCTGGAGCACATGCCTAGATTCAGATCATGCTCTAGTGCGAGCGCGTATTTGCTTGCGTCTTACTGGACGTAGGAAAGACGCTGCAAGGAAACCTCTTAGGGCCTACTTAATGATAGTCAAGCTAAGAGTATATTTCAGGAACAACTAGGAAAACAGTTAGGCAGCCATGTATGTGATGCCCACCCCGATGCAGCATGGAATGATATCCGAAAAGCTGTGGAAACAGCAGTGATATCTGCTAGTAAGGTAAACCAGAAGGTTAGGGAGCAACACTGGATCTCAGCAGCATCTATCGCACTGATAGATGCTCGGAAACTCATTCCACCTGGCTCTGAACATAATGAAGAGCGGAGTCAGCTTAAGCGCAAGCTGACAAGAAGTCTACGCAATGATCGCGAACAGTGGTGGGTAGCGAAAGCAAGAGAGATGGAAAAGGCAGCGGCAATAGGTAATAGCAGACAATTGTTCAGACTCGTTAAGGAAACCGGAATTAGGAACCCGACCGTTAGCGAAACAATCTCAGAGAAAGATGGACATATTATTCATTCTCAATCCAGGAGATTGGATCGATGGGCAGAACACTTTAGGGATCAGTTCAACTGGCCTTCAGCCACACTTCGGTTTCCCACGATCTCTAGTCAACCTGAATGGCAAGTTAATGTAGGTCCTCCGTCCCTTTACGAAGTTGAAAAAGCCATAGGAAATCTGAAACGAGGGAGAGCAGCAGGCCCTGACAGGTTTACTCCTGAGATTTTTAAGGATGGTGGTCCAGTATTAGCAATGAGATTAACTGAGGTCTTAGGTAGAATTTGGGAACTGGACGTAATCCCATCTGACTGGTCTCAATCACTGATTGTGCCAGTCTATAAGAAAGGACAAAAGTCCTCTTGTGACAATCACAGAGGAATCAGTTTGACTAATATAGTGTCTAAAATATTAGCTTCAATAATACTTCGACGCCTAATCAAAGCTCGTGAAGAGCAGACTAGAGAAAACCAGGCTGGTTTTCGACCTGGACGTGGTTGTATAGATCAGATATTCACACTACGTCAGGTTCTAGAACACAGACACACATTCAGACGCCCCACAATGGTAGTATTTCTCGACCTTAAGGCGGCATTCGACTCTGTTGATCGTGAGGTTCTATGGCAGTGTTTGTCACTGAAAGGAGTACCAAAGAAGTACATTAACCTTATAAAGGCTCTCTACTCGAACACAACTGGTAGAGTGAGAGCTTATGGCGAACTGTCATCAGAATTGATTACCTCAAGTGGTGTTCGTCAGGGCTGTCCACTCTCCCCATTCTTGTTCAACTTTGTGGTCGACGTACTTTTAGAGATAACACTCTCCTCATCTAAATTTCCAGGGGTTGAACTTCTACCAGGAGGTTCACTTGTTGACTTAGAATATGCTGATGACATAGTTTTATTTGGTGAAGACGCTGACAAAATGCAGAGTCTTCTGACCACTCTAAGCAACAATGCAAGCATGTTCGGGATGCGATTCTCTCCCTCGAAATGCAAAATGTTGCTTCAGGATTGGGTTACATCGACACCCGAACTAGTGATAGGGAGTGAAGTAGTTGAGTGTGTCGACCGCTTCACTTATCTTGGAAGTCTCATCAGCCCTTGTGGTTTAGTGTGTGACGAAATCTCAGCACGGATACAGAAGGCTCGACTAGCTTTTGCCAACTTGCGTCATTTATGGCGTAGGCGAGATATCCGTCTATCAACCAAAGGACGTGTTTACTGCGCAGCAGTTCGTTCCGTCCTACTTTATGGCAGTGAAACATGGCCGGTAAGAGTAGAGGATATTCGTAGGTTACTAGTATTTGATCATAGGTGTCTTCGAAATATTGCTCGTATATCATGGGACCATCGAGTAAGTAATGCAGTTGTTAGGAAACGGGTACTAGGTAAGGATGGCAAATCAATTGATGAAGTAGTGAAACTTCATCAGTTGAGATGGCTGGGACACGTGTTACGTATGCCCAACGACCGACTGCCTCGACGTGCTATGTTCAGTGGTATAGGAGTAGGTTGGAAGAAAGCTAGGGGCGGCCAAACCAAAACATGGCACAAGTCCATGAAGTCACTGACAAGTGACTGAGTCATGTTGGTAGGTGTAGACTACCTGGTTGGGGACCGCGAGATGATAGCAACCGATGGTTAGAGACCCTGAATGACATGGCTCAAAATCGTTTGCAATGGCGCAGGTGCATCCACTCTCTGTGTTCTCCCAAATTCTAATCTTCTGAATGCTTCATGTCCCTTTTTTCCTCTTTCCAAATTTATTTCACTGGATTATACTCTTTAAATAACATCTCCAAACCCTAATCTTCCCGATTACTGCTTATACTCTTGCTACCTCTACCACTACGGGATTTGAATCGACAACTGCATCTCTGTGCTAATGTGGTGTGGCAACTCGAACTGATGTACATACGTACGAAGTTCTACGTTGTTACTGACTGACTGACTGAATGCTGAAATAACTATTAATCATGTACGGACACGATTTAAAACCAGTCTCGGTATCAGACAACAACTCATACCTTCCAAACACCACGCTTAATACTATTTCGTCTATCTTAATCCTTAATTACATTCTTTTTTCGATATGTTCACTCGTCGATTTGGGGTTTTCATTATTGCTGATAACTGGGATTTTGATTTTATTGATTGTAATGTGTTGTTATCAGATGTAGTAATTCAAAGCGGTACTGTATTATTTACATTAATCACTGAATAACTATTTAGCAAAGAATATTTGAGTCCATTAAACACTACACTTCTAGAAAACGACGGACAAAATGGTTATTTGAGTGATTAACAACTCACTTTAGGATCGGATATTATTGACTGCCGATTTAAATGCACACTAATAAACGATTTTGAACGATCTAATGGGAAATATTTTTCATAGGAATTTGGATAGGTTGACCGTTTATCTTTGAAAGCAGAAACAAACAGAACAGAAAATAACTAGGAGCATCTACAATTTGTAAATTATGGGTTATATAATAATCACGATACCTAGCGATGTGGCTATTCGTTAAGAGGCGATTATTCTGGTTTATTATTCACCAAGGAAACTGGGCATAAATTTGACGAACATCTCATAAGATTTATGAACTTAATTCTTAGTCTGGGCTATTGTGTCACTATGCTGACATTAGAGTTGTTTAATTGATCGGTTAAGCTCCACAAATAACAACGATATGAAGAACTTAAGTAATTTTCTATGGCTTGAGTGACTTCCCTATCACCTACCAAAGCAGCTGACACTATGACCCAAGTTAATATGTTGGGGTGCTTAATTAGCTGCTTCAACTTCGTGAAAGTGTAGCTCAGGCTCAACGAATGACACCAATAGTTTTGTTTGCAAAACTGGGTAAGACTGTCGAGAAATTGTCGCCTAGTAAATCTTATTATCATAGTCAATAAATTACAAGAGAAAGCCATTCATCTTATCAGCCACCAATTTGAAGGGGATATGTTCGAAACAAAGCAACACGATTTAATAGATCATTTTTGTTTGACAATCCTCATAGTTAGAAATAACTGAGCAGCAGTCAAAGACGACAATTTGTCAGTCGGCACAAAACCTATAGATCTCAGAAACATCGTTGACAGGATTTCCTAATTGAGACATGAGAAGGCAAAAAGCTGAAGGATGAATGTGAATTTAAGGGATGAGATGAAAATGGGTGGATTATATTATTTATGATTCAAAGGAACAACAGAAAGCATTAGGGATCCTAGCAACAAAGAATGAACTACGAAATAAACATGAGTCGAGATACATAACTGTACTTCCAAGATCGATTTGTGGAAATGCTAGATTACAAACCAATCTGAAATATACATTGACAAATAAAGTTCTTAGAGAATGGTACTAAGCAAAACAAGTTGTAAACTCAGTGGTATCACAAAATCCAAGAATTAGCATGTTTTGGAAGCAACTTTTCGCTTCTCTACTACTTGACCGATCTAAGGAGCATTACTCCATATATCTATTCCTCGGTAAACGATATATACGGGAAGTAGGCATAAATATATGGACGAGTAACAGAGAGAAACGTGGAACAAGATCTCCCAATTAAATAAGAATGGGGAAATAGAAGCAATTCGAGGAATATACAAGCGACAATGGCTAAGATTTGGTTAATTCAGGCGACAGAACAAATAAAAGTCATCTTTTATGCCTATAGGCGTATGTTGGGAAAATAATGAGACATGACAAAATGCAGTTCGTCAGTCGTAAGATCTGTGAGGTGACACCTTAGTGATCGTCGAATTACCCACTTCTCGCCTATACTTGACTTCATTACTTTATCCTTTAGACTTATATTATATATATATATGTTGTGTGCCATGAAACGCAAACATTATAACACTTTGTCAATGTACGAAACTGAAAATAAGCAAAATTGTGCACAATACTACAAGCTAACTAGTTCTGTGTATTTCAAATGGAACAATCTTCGGAACATTTAGAGGAGCACTGTACCTGCCTTGCCTGAAATCCTATATATTTACATGGAGAAACACAACATTTTTCATGTTAACGAGCTAAACTTCCAAACCGGACCTACCAGGCATTGCACAGTATACACCAACTGCAGGCTGAGGAGACTAACCACAAGCTGATGGTAGTTAAATAACAAAGTTGAAAGGTGATCTGCGTTTTGATTGGCTTAGTTGTTTGTGCGCCTTTTGTCCAATGTTATCAATACCCAAGTGCTTTTGACAAGTGCAAACCGAACATTTTCCATGCCCTCTTGTTGTTAAAGTGTGGTTCCGCTGACAAACGTTTCGAAATTCCACGACATCCCTCTCTTCTTTCCCTGATGCCATGCGTGGATTTTTTGGGACACGTGGAATGATGTGCAACGCAGCAGGATATGATATTAAAGAGCAAATGTTGTGAGCACTTACTCCACTACCAGGAATTATTCTCCTTAGGTTATAGAAGAGTAAGGGGTGATCTGAAGGCCACGTTCATGATTCTTTAGCGGTAAAAAGATCCCCAAAATAAATAGTTCTGTAAGTCTTCGACATTGGATTCTAACCACATTAGTTTTAGTGGACTCACCTAGCTGAAGGCGCTCGGTCATGCATCTGCATCAGATCACGAATGGGAACGCCGTGCTCAACATCCCCTTCAATCGCTAGCCAGCCTAGGTCAGTCTATCCTCGATACATTGATAGCCTATCAAATATATCTTCGAACTTCCTCGCTTCTGATTTTGATTTCACTTGGTGGGTACGATTCGTAGTAGAATGTGTTACATGTTAAAGCGTTGTCGAACTCCAAAAACCCGTGGCATCTTCAATTCCTTGGGTTTGTAACGGTTTCCCATGCATTGTTCGAACGACATTTGAGTCGACTATTTGTAAATTGTGAATAAACTTTGGTACCTAATTTGGAGTTTAGTTCTATTGTTAATTTGGGTTCGCAATTGTAAATAAATCAATATACCGTGCTTCAATAGCGGAAGCGAGCAAAAACTTGGACGTAACACAAAGTTCTTCAATTATTGGTTCTGTGTTCATACATTGGATTTGTCTGGACATTTTGGATCCGATTTCCCGATCCTATTGGTCGATTTCGTTTGGATTAATTCATATTTGTTCTGGTAACCGATTCTTTGAAACCCAGGCATACGATGGAAACGCGAAGCAAAAGACTGAAAGAAAATGACGACACTGAAGGTAAAATTTCTAAAGCTGTTTGTGGCATGTCTGATGTTAGTGATGATTAGAGTGATATTAGTATTAATAGTATGTCCTCTGATCAGCTTAGTACTTCTTGATTAAAGTTAGATAAGGCATTACTAAGGAAGGAGAAGTTAGAAAAGAGACTTGAGTTAGAAAGGCAGCTTAAGATGTTAGATCTTCAAGAGAGATTGATATGGCTGAATTTCAATGTAAGATCAAGGAGGACGATAACCAATTGCCCGTAGAAATCTGTGAGACAATTGCTTAGGTGGAAAGGCATTTGCGTTGTGATACCAGCTGTAATAATCATTCAAGGGGGATATTTAACATCTCAAAAGGCGATTGGGTTTATGAGTTGAAGGAGACATTACTTACTATGGTTAATAATATGGTTTTACCTAAGATTAATATGATGCATTCTGATGGACAACCTGGTCAGTACCTTCGTTTTATTAGCCAGTTTACTGGCATTATCGAGAGTAAACTGTCTGATAAGGGCCAAATGTTGTCGTATTTGTTATACTATTGTAAAGGAAAGGCCAGAGCGGCTATTGAGGCTTGTATTTATTTGCCCAGTCATTTAGGTTATGATAGAGCTAAACAAATTTTGTATGATCTGTTTGGTAAGGAACACCATGTCTCTCGCGAACTGATTGCTGGGTTACTTGACCACAAATCTGTTGAAGGATTATAGCGACTCACGTGCAAAGTCATCTGCACTATAACAATTTATTGTACCCTTATTATTTTGTGCTTGTATGAGATACGTATGCTTGAATATTGCTTACTGCCTACGCATTTATTCACTCTGCTAGTCCTACTACTAACCACTTATTTGATTCGATTACTCATTCATTTCACTATATACATACATATATATATGTCCATGTTATTCATATTCAACACTCACACACTCTCGTCTCGCTCTTGCTCTGGCTCTCGCTCGCTTGCTTGCCTTTCGGCACAACTCTTCTATGCTTGTTTAACGCATCTGTACATTTGGATATATGTGTGTGATCTCGCAATAAACGTAATCAACACTTCGTATTTGCCTTCTAATTAATATACCGTTGAGACGTTATATAGAACGGTTATCAAGACGAACTGTATACGAAGTTAAGGATTATATCGAGTATCGACCATCACAGGATCAGCCGATAGGTTAACTGAATTCGCAGTTAAGCTACGTAATGTATTCATAACATTGAAGGAAATGAAGTACATGTCTGATGTGAATTCTACGGCTAAGGTGGAAATAACAGTGTCATTTCTACCCTTATAATTACAGAATAAGTGGGTGGAAGTTGCCGATAAGATCATGATGACCGGGAGGGAGCCGAGCTTTGAAGAATTTGTGATCTTTGTAGAGGAAAGAGCCAGGATTTCTCGAACACGTTTTGGTAGATTGGTACATTGTAACTCAAAGTTCTGTGAAAGTGATTATGAAGGCCAAGTTGGTAAGAAATCACACTTTAATGTAGTTAAGCGAGAATCAAACAACTCACTCGAGGCTCTAGGTTGCGAAATTTGCTTAGGTGATCACAAAGAGACAGATTGTATGAAGTTATTGAAAATGAATGTTACAGAAAGGAGACAGGAAGTGAGAAGATGTGGTCTATGTTACCTGTGTTTAAGAAAGGATCACGTAGCCAAGTCATGCGACACGGACGTCAAGTGTGACGTTGATAGTTGGAAGATTCGACATAATTCATTGCTACATATTGACGGTATTAATAATCATGTAGTGAACTTAGTTGAGGATTGGAACTCGTCGAAGGTTTGTTTAGGTATCATTCCGGTCAGATTGTATGGTCCGAGGAGAAATTTGGAAACTTGCGCCCTTCTAGATAGTGGTTCAAATACTCCCCTCGTATACGGAGAGTTATTTAATTAGTTGGGTCTCAAGGGTAAGAAGGCTTCGATGACGATAACCATTGTGAATGGAACGACTACCTGTAGATGTTTGGAAGTAAATTTAAAGGTATTTTTTGGAAGAGCAGTGTTCTACGAAAATCAAGGAGTTTTATAAGACTAAGAAGTTTCCGATAGATTGTGTAGATCCTTTAACCGAGGAACAGCTGGGATGTTGGAAGCATTTGAAGGACATCACCCTTCCGACGTTGCGAAGTAATCTGGTATGAGTGTTGATTTGATGTGATACTGCAGACGCATATTAGGTCCTGGAACAACGTCTGGAGACAAGAAACATACGTTTGGTGTGCGTACGCCTCTCGGTTGGATGGTTTTAGGTCCGAAGGGAGCATATAGGTCAGTACATCCAGTACAGCGTTGTCATTCTCATGATTTACACCGAATCTAGAATGATTATGTAGTTTTGAGTCCGAGGATACAGACCATATTGATAAACATGGCTCACTTGAATCAGAGGTTTCTGTAACAGTAGAACTAAACAAAGAAACGTGTTTGAAAAATTCGCTTAATAAATGGCAATACAGTATCAGTGTTGATGGGTATCGAAATGATACTTACGGAAAGGTGGTTGACGGTTCGTTCGTATTTACAAGAGATTTGATGTTTATATTAGATTCACGTGACAAAATTATTAAACAGTGGTTCATACGATTTAATTTGTAGCTAATGATCATGGGAAAAAGGGTTTTATGTTCTGCGGACTCAAATAGTTGTTTGTGTGTGAATCTGCAATTGTGCCTGAAGCCATGTATTATGGCTATTCATTTTCTTAAGAAACTAGAAGAGTCAAGCAGTATTGTGATTTTGAATCAGAGTAAAGAGTTCGTGGTAAACAAAAGAATTAGTGGCTTGATGCTTTATTTGGAAAGTATTGAAATGGGTAAGGAATTAAGTGAGATGTCTTTACAGATGGGATTACTTAGGCTTGATGTGTTGCGTTGGATATCCTTAGACCTGATTCTAAATGCTATAATCATAGTATTTTAATATTCTAGAATGCCTTCATCGCCTACAATAAATGTCAAGGGGGAGATGAACTCTTCTTTACGAATGTTGGATCGTTTTGTGGTACGCGGATTATTATGTGTTGATGGTCATCTTCGAAACAGTTCTTGGCCTAAGTTAAGAAAGCATCGTATTATGGATTATAGATCCGGTTTCTGAGCATTGTCGGAGGATACGAGATGCTACTACACAGACGATAACAGCAGTCCGAAAAAGGATTTGGCTGTTACTGTTGAGAGAGAACGTAACAGGGCTCTGGGATGCTCGATCTAACGACAGGTATTCTGTGAGATGTAAGGAAAAGAATTATTGGGCACAAATAGTTTGAAGACGCTTATCTAAGGAATATGTTCCCCTGTGGAAAAGTAGACACAAATGGACTAGACTAGAGAGGAACCTAAGAGAAATTAACTTGGTGACGACATGTTCAGATTTTTTAGAGAGAGACAAATGGCCTTCAAGTCTGGTAAGGAAACTGATACCTAGTAATGATAGATTAAGACCGATGGAGTTGAGGACAAGCCAAGGAATCTTAGTAAGAGATATTGGAAAACTGTGTCTTGAAGCTGAATATGTTAGATAGCTACTCGGATCCCTAGACGTACTGGTGTAAGTCCTAGGGATCACGAGATTGTTGGTATATTGAATGTTTGTTGTTGATTGCTTGTGATGAATATACTTGGATTGTTGGTGCCTTCTATTTTGTCTGTGAAAAGAACCAAGGTTCTTTTGGTCGGGAGTGTTACGGTGGAACTAAAGACATTTGGTGGATTAAAAACCTTATATTAAGTATTATTAATTTCATTGTGTTTGTGAGTGTACTTCTTTTTACTAAACTTCTAATAATAATAATAATATATTTCTGCATGCGCAGAACATATTCCTTAGATAAACGTCTAACAACTAGCCAAATGAGATGTGCATACAAATAGTTTTAAGTGATT